TAATTCAACATAGAGTATACATTATATAAAGTATACGCATTATGCATATTTTAATCACAATTTTATTGTTGTATTTTCTTTCAATTATACATTTATAAAAATTAATACTATGGCAAATAATTGAAGGCAAATATTATCATTATATTGTTGTTCAATTATTCAAAGTCACATCTCTTGAGCTCTTGATGCCAGACGAGGCCTTCCGGACAGGACTTTATAACGATTCTCCACTGATGGGGTCCAATACGCTCGCACTGATAGTACTTATGGACATCTACAGTGGGCATATAGCCGTCTCGGGTACAGAAGTAGTCCACCGGATCTTGAGTGGGTGTTGGGACGGGTGTTGGAGCGGGTGTAGCCCAGGCTATTGTTTTATTAAAATATTTAATGCAACAAATATCAGAATATATTATTTTTTTGGTCAAATATATAATGAGTACAAACCGTAACAAAGGGCGACCGCCGACAATACTAATACAATCTTCAACATTATGTTATGGTATTTGAAACGATCAGTAGATATACAGCCAAAAGTGTATTTTGTTTTGTTTAAATCAATTGCTTATATAGTAAAGTGTTGTCTGATTTATCGATTCAATCAGGATTTCTTTAATTAATTCGTAGAACTGGACATTAAGTACACATACTTTTGTTCGGTTAACAATATAACAATTTTTGAAAACATATCTACAACTTATAGACTATAAGATTACGCTTTGAGTGCTTATCTGTCTTTATATTATAGAATTTATAATATATAATTTAATTATAATACTTATATGAAGTAAAGTACACAAATAATAAAGTTAACATGATTTAGGATTTCATTTCAGCAGAAAGTGATGGACAACTGGTTATAACTTTATACGTATAAATTTCAATATAATTTTATTATTGTATTTTCTTTCAATTACACATTTAGTAAAATTAATACTAACGATAAGGATAATAGTTAAAGGAAAACATTATCATTAAATTGTTGTTTAATTCTATGGATTTTCACATCTCTTGAGCTCTTGATGCCACACCAATCGTCCGGATGGCCCGACTGGACAGGGCTGAAGGCTTAGTCTCCACCGATGGGGTCCCACATTCTCACACTGATAGAACTTATGGATATCTAAAGAGTAGGCCATATAGCCGTCTCGGGAACAGTAAAAGTCCACCGGGTCGGGTGTCGGTTCAGCCATTGTGCCTATTGTTTGAAATAAATATTTAATTCAACAAACATGAAAAGTCAGGCATTTTGTAGTTAAATATATAATGAGTACAAACAGTAACAAAGGGCGACCGCAGACAATACTAATACAATCTTCAACATTATGTTATGGTATTTGAAATCGATCTATGGATACAAAATTAAAAGTGTCTTTTGTTTTGTTTAAATCAATTCTTTATATAGTAAAGTGTTGTCTGATTTATCTGATTCAATCAGGATTGTTTTAATTAATTCGTAGAAATGGACTGTGTACTTTTGCTCGGTTAACAATATAACAATTTTTGAAAACATATCTATGAGATTATCCTTCGAGCGCTCATTTGTTTCTGTATTATAAATTATAATACTATATGCAGTACATTAATAATAAAATTAATATGATTAGACCTGTTATAAGTCAAATGTCAACTATTCTTGAAGTCGATTTAGTGACGAGCAAAGGGTTAACACAAGAATTTGCTATAAAGTAACATTCTCCCGATGTTAAAGTAAATCATTAACTTAAATCTAGATCTCATCTTATTTGCCATTGGAGAGGACCGAGTGATCATACAATTAAATTCTCGTTTTGAATTGAAATTAAAAATATGTGATTTAAAACTATTTGTTTAAGTTTATTAGTAGACTTAGAAATTTTGCAAAAGTAACAATTTTGAGTATCAAATGGCCTAGCCCATTCTAATTGGTATATACATTTGGCATGTACATGATCATTTCGGTTTATATATGTATTTTTCATCGAGATAATTGGTAAATGACCAGAAATTGACCGAATTATGGACAAAATTTGAAATAAATATTAGAAATATAATATACGTTGGTAGCAAAATTTTTACAATTACAAGTTATATTGAATCAATCAAGATCAATTATCTTAATATAATTGTATATAAAATAAATAATATACAATAATAATAGTATAATTCAATAAAGAGATAATAATATAATACAAGATTTATATTATAATGTATACATATTATGCATATTAAAGTCATCAAAATTTTATTGTTGTATTTTCTTTCAATTATACATTTAGTAAAATTAATACTGAAAATAATAGTTAAAGGAAAATATTATCATTAAATTGTTGTTCAAATCTATGGATTTTCACATCTCTTGAGCTCTTGATGCCACACCAAATTTCCGGATGGCCCGGCGGGACAGGGCTGGAGGGTTAGTCTCCACTTATGGGGTCCAACATTCTCGCACTGATAGAACTTATGGAGATCTAAAGCGTAGGGCATATATCCGTCTCGGGAACAGAAAAAGTCCACCTGATCTTCAGTGGTTGTGGGAGCGGCTGTGGTTGTGGTGGTTGTAGTTGTGGTAGTGGTGGTGGTTGTGGGCTTTGCTTTGCCTATTATTTCAAATAAATATTTGATAAATCAATGTTTAAACAAATTGTAATTATTAATGTATGCATACATGTATGGGTAGTCTGATCCCAAGTGCCGCCATCGGGACAGTGATCCAGATGTCTGTTCCAGCACTGGTCGGCCACGTATTCACATTTGTAAAAGTCGTGCGGATCTGTGCCGGGAATGTAACCGTCGATTCGACACCAATCGTCAACAGTTCGCTCAACGCCCGTGTATATGAATACAAGAATATGAGAATATATTGTAATTTTATTGTTAAATATATAATGAGTACAAACCGTAACAAAGAGCGGCCGCCGACAACAATAATACAATCTTCAACATTATGTTTGTATTGTATTTGAAATCAATCAATGAATACAAGACCTGAAGTGTTATTTGTTTTGTTAAAATCAATCGCTTATATAGTAAGCAATTTGCATGTTTTGGTTGTGAGGATGAAATGCCCAAACGTGAAAACGTATACCGTTCGAGATTACAGCAAATTCCTGATTGAAAAATGATTGTATTCTTTTATGTGATTGATTTTTATTGCACTTTAATAAACATATAATTCAATTCTCACACTTTGAAACCCATTTCAGTAGTTAATGTAATTTGTGATTTTTGTGGTTCAAAGTTTAGATACCGTTTAAAATTGATCCCGATTATCATCTAGTTGTATTTAGCACATCATTATTGCTCAAAAGAATAAGCTTTATAGAGTATATTAATGATATTATGTTTAATATCACTTAAATAAAATAGTTGTTGGGATTTATGCAAAATTATTAATTTTAATAAACTCACTGTACTTTTAGACCTTCCGTTAGCTGACTATATGTGGATTATATCTAAACTGATAAATAAATAAATTCTCAGAAAGTTTATGTTTTTGCATTTAAAAACAATATTATGTTTTACTTATATTGGGCTAAATGATATTGTATTAGCTTAGCCCAGTTGCCGTGTAGTTAGAATTCTGAAATTGGTTTTATAATTTAAGTTGACATCTCTAGGCACCAGAATCCAAGTTTCATCAAGATTGGATTAATAGTTTATGAACAGGATTTTTTCAAAGTTTGTCGGTCGGAATTATTTTGAAAAATTTACAACAAAATATTTGACGAAAAATTATCACATTTTTAAAGTGAAAATATTTTTATCAA